TCATAAAAGCTACATAAACAGACCTGAAGAAGACTGTGTTTGTAAAACTAGCAGAAACGTCTGAGAACTATAAGACAGACTGTTTCTGCTATCGAAACAATTTGTGTTGTTAATCCTGAATGATTCATGTGACAACATCATAAGAAGAAGGTCATTTTACTCCACACACACACATTTGGAAAATCACATAGTTTGACCATAAAAAAATAGTATTTGAGATCGCTGTGATCGCAAAACTGTGATTAATAGTTAAATATTATTGTTGAGGGGCACAGACAGGACTCCACACCAGGCACATGCAGAGGGGGGGGCTAGAGGGGCTTGAGCATCCGCCCCTTTCCTGATGGGTGCCCAAAGTGCCCTTTTGTTGAGGCAACTTTTTAAAAAAAAAAAGTATTATTATTTTTAATGTGTGCGTGCGGAGTCCTGTCTGTGGCCCTCAACAATAATATTTAACTAATAATCATAGTTTTGCTAAATAAAAGGATCTGGCTTGCATCAGTAACATGATCACATTTAACCAATGATCGCCCTTGACGGCAGAACTCGCTGGGTACGAGCCGGGAACGAGCTCACAAAAAGCACGCGCATTTGTTGCGGTCCGGAGCTGTAGGAGAAACACAAGTTAACTCAGAGACACGGACTGATGCGACAAAACCAGTAAGTAGGTGTACAGCGTATCGGAGACCGGGGATAGTTGTAACGTGGTCAGTTGTAACACTTCCAATTTCTCCAATCAGGGCTAAGTTTCAAATGATGTGACTCATCCTGTGCATGCCCAATTCAGTTCTGCTATCACATGTGAAAAATCAGTACATTTTGTCAAACACAGACAATTTAACACGAAAAAAAGTAATTTGTATGCCAAAAAGTAAGTTTTTCTACTTTATTTCAATTTGTAATAGCATTATCTGCTTTGCAGCTAAACTCATCAAACTTAAATTATGTTATTTGTATGTCTATGGGGATATATTCTGTGTAGGTCTTTAGAGCTAGTGTTTTAGCCGTTGGCTGTAATGTTAGCTAGTTCATGGCTATAGGAGTCTGGGTCAGTTGTAACAGCAACAGTCTGGGTTAGTTGTAACAATAACAATAACAATAACAACAGATGTTAAAACTTACCACACTATTACTTTAACTTATATTAAACAAGTTGGGGCAACGACATCAGCAGAGAGAAGTTCACTGGTCGCATTTGTATATGCGGTTAATGCCATTGGCAACACAAATCCTCCACTGTTTGTGTTCCCCACACATACGTTATGCAGGCCACTGTGTCAGAGATGGACCAGTAGGAAGTACTGGTAGTGGAAATAAATCAGGATGGGTGCAAGAAACAGATTTCCTCATCTTTCTGAAGCACTTTGCAAACCACACCAAGGTAAGCCATGATAAAAAGTAATGGAATTGCGATGCTGGTGAACAACTACATTTTTTCAGCTTCATTGTTATGTTCAAAATTGGTGCAAGAGTTGTAGGTTACAATGCCCACTGAGCCATGAGGCCAAACTCAAGGAAGACCAACCAAAATTAATGAAATATTCAGTTGCAGAAAATTCCAGAATTTGTCTTTTTTGGGGGGTTGGAATATGTTCAAAAGCTAGATTTCTGCATTCTGTCACACACACACACATCTACATAAATGGATGTAAGTGCATTCATGTGTTGAATAAAAAAGATGTTAATGTTTTTTTAGTACCCTTATTTCATTGTGTTACATTTTACCCCAGGATATGTTACAACTAACCCAGACTATGGGGTTAATTGTAACATTTCACTCTTCGTGTTTGAGACCATACCATGCAATGGGTAATTGTGCTGCAGAGAAAATAGCTGCACTATTTAATAGCAGAGACATGTAAATACTTTGCATTACACTTTAAATCCACTACCTTAAAAGAGCTCCAATTTACAGACAGAAATGTCAAAAATGTTACAACTATCCCCGGTCTCCCCTACACTGTAGTGTATAGCACCCAGGAGTATCAGCTTATTACGTACACGTTGGTAAGTTGTCTTGTTGCAACGAACGAACTGAAACAAATGAACTGAAACAAATGAGCGTACTGTGTGTGCAACAGCGTGACAAACATTACCTGTCCTTTTATTAACTGCACATGTAGTGCTGGTCATAGCTGCTGGCTACCTGTGTAAGGCTGTAATGGGTCTGTAGCTCTGTCACCGTTTTAGGGAACATATTTAGTTTTAAAGTAAGTTACAGAGCTTTTCCTGCCTTTCTGGAGGGATTATATTTCACTAAAAACGATCTAATATGCATGTCCACATAATTATGCATTATTATAATATTTTAAAAAACACACGCTGTATTTTAAAGAACATACATTAAGTGGTAAATGGCCTGTATTTGTATTTTACTAAAGCGCTTTACACATCCAGTCATCCACACACTGGTGATAGCAGCTACATTATAGCCACAGCCACCCTGGGGCGCACTGACAGAGGCGAGGCTGCTGGACACTGGCGCCACCGGGCCCTCTGACCACCACCAGTAGGCAACGGGTGAAGTGTCTTGCCCAAGGACACAACGACCAAGACTGTCCGAGCCGGGGCTTGAACGGGCAACCTTCCGATTACAAGGCGAACTTCCAACTCTTGAGCCACGATCGCCCCAAGAAGCCAAAATTTGGATTTTACAGCAGTAAAATTATTGTATCTCAAACAGTTTAAAAATGTAATAAGCTTTGCCCCTGCACAGAGTGGATAGTGAAACAAATGGAATCATCATAATGACATTATTTCATATTTATTACTTCCCCCTCCTCATTGCTTTATTATTGTAGCTCTAGTAATAAATAATAATGTAAGGATTCTGGATCAGCACCATGATGCCCATAGTACAGTATTCTGAAGAAGGTCTAAAATGTCACTGTGTGTGCGTGCATGTGTTTGCTTTATGTAAATGGATTTTTTTAAATTATTACTCATGATATAACATTGTCCAGACATGCCTGGTAAGGACATGAGGAGGAAACAGTAGGAGCTGTGTGAGGCTACTAAAGGCATTGCTATAACATTTTTCTGTCATCATTTTATTATAGATTAAGTGCAAGAGTTGTTAGGTGTGGATAAAGATTATAGTTTATTGCAATAGCAAGTTGTGCCTTGTTCTCAGATGTCTGTGAAGGTTCTCAGTCATCCAGGTCATCGTAGTCAAAGGAGCTTGCAAAGCTTGTTCTCAGATAGACAGCGAGTGGAGAGTGATATATGAAATGATGGGATGGAAGGAAGAAGAGAAGCAAAGAGTGATTCACAGGCAGAGCCTAAATTATTTCTCACAGTTTTTTGCTGCCTTATGGTTCCAAGCGCTGTCACCAATCTTTGCATTTTGTTATTATCTCATGACACTTGTTTAATCAGCTACCATCTCTCCTATGGACTTTTTACTGTCTACAGTCTCAGATCAACACAGCCCTGCCCTCCAGTACTATCCACAGCAACCCCTCAACAGCAACATTGTACCCATCAGGTAGAACATCGGCTACGTTTGCTTTGCCTTGTTGCCCATATTAGATTCTTGGTGAATGTGTGTTGTTGTTAATCACCCTGTTTCAATGTGCCCCTTTTTAACTTTGAGCACCCGCCCCTTTAAACCTCTCTGCACGGCCCTGGTCCCATAAAAATACGGTTATATCCAGTAATGTACAATTAGTTGCGCTAATTTGACATGGAATCTCGCCTTTTTCAAGTGCCGCTAAACATTAAATAAGGAACATGTTAATGTGATTAAACAATGAAATCATCTATAAATAGGGAAAAAAATCTTTAAAAAACGGTAATATTCCGGCAGCTGGGGCGCCAAAATACGACCGTAAAATAACAGAAAATAACTGTCCCATAAAAATACGGTTATTTTCAGTAATGAAAATAGAGTTTGTTGCGCTAATTTGACAGGGGATTCTGCCTTTTCCAAGTGCTAGTTAGTGATCAAAACGCGATCAAACAATGAAATTACCTATAAACAAGGTCACTGAATGTGGAAATATGAATCATAATACGTAAATGTACAGAAATATACAGTTAACAGTTGGTTTGAATAATAATTGATTGCATGCCCTGGGACAGAGGTGAGGTGAGGCATAACTAGCAGTGATAATAATACTTATGTGATGTAACACAAGCTTATAGGGATCATGTTATATACTTTTCCATAGCATTACATTTGAATTCGATCTTTCAAATAAAGGACAGATATTTGTGAGATCATGATACATTTGTGAATGTATTTTAACAATCTAAATATGCATATGTACAGACAGATACATTTAATAATCAAGACAATTATGTTGTATTACATTACAGTGATTTAACGTTAATTTACATTCAAAATGTGAAGTCAAAGTCTATTTACGTAACTTTAATGATATTCTAGAAGAACAGAACATTACTGTAAAATGCACAGTAAAATACCTTCATATTAGGGTTTTTTTCCTATGGTCGCAGCGTTACCCGTGACCTTGTTGTTAGTTCACATTCATTGGCCGATGCTTAGCGTCATGTTATTTATATTAATTGCAATTCCTACCTCTACATTTCTTTTTCAAAATATATAATTAGCAAAGCGTGTCCGTGCAATGTTTTATATTGTGAAATTCAGAGAAATCTTAACAAAGAAGCTCACAGAGAAAGATTGAGCTTGTTATTTAACCCCAAGCTGATAGGGAGCGCACCTTATTAAAACACTTGCTGTGCTACAATGTGCCTCAAAGTTCAACAACAGCACAACAGAAGTCACTCATGGTACAGCACTCTCGCTACAAAACAACAACTGTCAGTGACGCTGCACCACGGCGTAAACACAACATTCAAGATAACAGTTAAAAGTAACGTAACCATAAACAATAGAACAAGAACATCTAAACAGCAGCACATGTCCCAAGGCATGATGGGAGATCTCCAGTCCAGAGGGTGGTGGTATAACACCTAAAGTTGTTTGCTACCCGCCATAAAAAGATAGGCGAAGAAGGGTCTTATAACAATGGTGATGACGATGATGGCGTACAGGAAACTGCCGGTTCAATTGGGCGTGGATCGTTGCGCAGATCTGTAAACACTGTTAATAGTGAACTGGGATTGTGTATTACCATACGCGGTGCATGTTTGTGTTATCAGTAAATCCCTTTAGTCTTTGTCTCGCCGAAGGGCGTGTTTAGTCAGTAGGACTTCAGGAGGTGTGAAGACGCGTACTAAAACAAGGGACTGCACCAAGTCAGCGGACGGTAAGACCAAGTTAACCACTGTCTGCTTGGCTGTAAAATAAGCATGTATTCTGGTAGCGATCATGTCGATGAAACATGGTCGCTGAGTCACTCACTCACTTGAGTGAGTGACTCAGGACTCGAGGTGTAATTGTGGGCAGCACTATAATGTGTACTGCATACAAAGCACCAAACCCTCAACATTCATGTAACGCACTGCAAAGAAAAGAAACGGGAAAGCTGATCGTTAGGCTCCAGTTTTCAGGTATGAGTCCTGGTGTACAACCAATGCAGCACGGTTGCTTTTTTCTTTGCGTTTAACTCAAAGTGTGGGGAGTTTGCGAGCCCTTTTCAAGTGCTTCTCTGCGCTTCTTTCAAGAAATGTTCAGACATATTGGCCAACATGTAACTTACATGACAACAAGCTGGCGCATTTAAAAAAAACATTTTATTTTTATTTTTAAAAATATCCTGTAATAATGAAGTCCCTGGGGCCTGGTTTAGAGCGTTACATTTCATAAATTGATTATTGCTGATTTCAAGTCCACTGCGATGCTGTACAAAAACGTTCTATATGCCCAACAAATTATGAATCGAACTGTACGAATATTTCCTGTAAAAATCCATATACACTCTCTTACCACTTTATTAGATAGGCATGTAAATATCTAACCAGCAGTTATGGCAGCAACATGTAGCCATGGTCAAGTTGACCTCCTCGGGTTCAAACGGAGCATTAGAAAAGGGGCATGGTTGTTGGTGCCACACAAGTTAGTCCCACTATTTCAGAAACTGCTGGTATGCTGGAATTTTCCCACACAGCCTAAGCTTTACGGAGACGGGTCAGAAGAAGAAAACAGGAATGACAGTTTTCTGTCTACACCCCCAAATGCCAATATCCAAATAAATGAATTATAAGAACATAAAATTTAAGTCTCCCACCATACAGTTGGGGAGAGAAGCTGTCCAAGTTGGACACATTATTGTACCAGGCAATAAACATGTAAAGCTGGACAGTCCGTGGGACTGAAAAAGTTTTGGAGCAAGCCCCAAGTGACCATTACAAGAACTCCGCTCTTGTCACATATACAGGGAGTGCAGAATTATTAGGCAAGTTGTATTTTTGAGGAATAATTTTATTATTGAACAACAACCGTGTTCTCAATGAACCCAAAAAACCCATTAATATCAAAGCTGAATGTTTTTGGAAGTAGCTTTTAGTTTGTTTTTAGTTTTAGCTATTTTAGGGGGATATCTGTGTGTGCAGGTGACTATTACTGTGCATAATTATTAGGCAAATGAACAAAAAACAAATATATACCCATTTCAATTATTTATTATTACCAGTGAAACCAATATAACATCTCCACATTCACAAATAGGGCTGGGCCATATTATACCGTTCACGGTAATACCGGTATAATGTTAGGCAACGATAGGAAAATGAAATATCGCGATAGAATGGGAGTAAAACGCGCATGCGCAGTGCCTTTGTTTTCATACGCACATGGACGATTGTTGAGTGAAACAGATGAACCAGAATTGGTTTGTAAAAATGGTGCAACTTCCGTGATGTGGAACTGGTTTGGTGTTTGTCTGTCAGATACACGACAAAGCACATTTTTTTTGCAGAACATGCAAGCGGCCGTTGTTATTGTCATATTTGTCGGACTAAGATGCTCTTAAATCTGGGAGTAATCTGGGTCCTAAACTCCGTATACTTCAGGTCAAACAACACTGCAGCGTCACTTAGAGTTAAAAACTGTCTAAATTCTTTCATCTTTAATAAAACGATCAGCATTGCTGCTTTACCAGGTGTAACTATAAAGTTTAACTTCCAGGCATCCATGAAAACAAAAGTTATTACATTTAACTGAGTTAGAAGTTAGCAGGAAGCTAGCGGAAGTTAGCTCGCTAGTTTCGCTAGTTACCTAAGCATGATATTGCATGTTCTGACTGAGAGATTTCTGCAAAAAATCAAACGTACAGCTCTGCTATCACTTCCAACATAAATGAAGACAGGAAACTAAACAGCAGTGACGTTTGTAGGGTTACTGAAGTTGGGCTAGCTAGTATATAATGATGTGCTACGTGATCACTAGCGACACAGCTATGTTAGCATAACGTAAACAGTGAAGCTGGAGGACGAACACTAACACTTTTCCACTTATAAAAGTTAACGTGAAGGTTCTTCATGGTTAGAGACAAATGCAATCGCATGGCAGGATGCTGTAAACGGACCAAACTTCAGTCAGGAGAACAACTGAGATAATCCATCCACAATACGAGGTTAGTCATTAATATACTGCAACAACATGGGAATAGAGCAGCTGCCAGAGAATTCAACATTAATGAAACAATGGTACAGAAGTGGAGGAAGCAAGAAGAATGAGTTTAATAAAGTTTGATTTATCTGACTGCTTTGTTTCGCTTAATGTGCCTTATAATCCCGTGCACCTTACGGTCCGAAAAATGCATACTGCACACTGCAGTTTAATGTTGCAAAGCACCTATTTTTAACTTCAGTGGATATTATACATGGTTATGCTCAGGATATGTCAGCCCATTTCTACTGGAAATGCCTTTTGGTTAAACTTTCAGCAAGGAATTTGCATTTGCACTGTTACATTTTTATAAAGCTTTAATGTACATAAAAACCAGCTTCTTGTTTAAGTGAAAATAAATGGAAGGTTGTCTTTTTGCGCTAGTAATGTTGTGGAGTTGTATTTTGTCTCGCATCAATTATATCGTCGGTTATATCATTATCGCAAATTTTCAAATATATATCGTGATAAATATTCTTGGCCATATCGCCCTGCTCTATTCACAAATATACATTTCTGACATTCAAAAACAAAACAAAAACAAATCAGCGACCAATATAGCCACCTTTCTTTGCAAGGACACTCAAAAGCCTGCCATCCATGGATTCTGACAGTGTTTTGATCTGATCACCATCAACATTGCGTGCAGCAGCAACCACAGCCTCCCAGACACTGTTCAGAGAGGTGTACTGTTTTCCCTCCTTGTAAATCTCACATTTGATGATGGACCACAGGTTCTCAATGGGGTTCAGATCAGGTGAACAAGGTGGCCATGTCATTAGTTTTTCTTCTTTTATACCCTTTCTTGCCAGCCACGCTGTGGAGTACTTGGACGCGTGTGATGGAGCATTGTCCTGCATGAAAATCATGTTTTTCTTGAAGGATGCAGACTTCTTCCTGTACCACTGCTTGAAGAAGGTGTCTTCCAGAAACTGGCAGTAGGACTGGGAGTTGAGCTTGACTCCATCCTCAACCCGAAAAGGCCCCACAAGCTCATCTTTGATGATACCAGCCCAAACCAGTACTCCACCTCCACCTTGCTGGCATCTGAGTCCTATCTGACTGTTAGATAGGAAGTACTTAGAAAAGGATAGGAAAAAAGTGCTTGTGCGAATGGGTGAATTTACAAGCGCTTTGAATGCTCAGAGTAGAAAAACGCTATATATGAACCAGTCCATTTACTAGGGCTGGACCATATCATATCGTAATACCGATATAATGTTCGGCAATGATAAGAAAATGAAATATCGCGATAGAATATGGATAAAACGCACATGCGTAGTGCCTTTGTTTTCATATGCACATAGCTGTAAAAGCATGGCGGTGACGGAGAATGAGTAGGGCGAAAGCGGATCGTTGAATGAAATGGATGAACCATAATTGGTTTGTAAAAATGCTGCAACTTCATTGGTGTGGAACTGGTTTAGCTTTTGTCCATCAGATACACAACAAAGCACTATTTTTGGTAGAGCATGCTAGCGGGCCATCGTTATTACCGTGTTTTTTTTTTTTTTTTTTTTTTTTTTTTTGGAAAATACAGCTCACTTAAAATCAATCTTTTTGATTTTTCTGAAAATCAACAGTGCCCCTTATAAACCCGTGTACCTTATGTATGAATTCTGGTTGTGTTTACTGACCTCAAAACGATTTTATGTGTACGGCGCTCGAAAATCTGTCAAATGTTTTAGTACGACTTTGCTAAGCTACAAATCCGCACCGCTTGATGAATTGTCGGAGCATTACGGCTATCGTAAGCAGAAGCCTCGCGGAGTGATTCGTACTGGGTTTCAGCATAATATTACCGTATTGTGTGTGTGTATAACCTCTTTTTAAGTTTTGTGGATATTATATATGGTTATGCTGAGGATTTAGGCGACCGTGGTGCTGGGGGTTGGGAAGCGCATCTGTAACCGGAAGGTCGCCGGTTCGATCCCCGGGCTCTCTGTCCTGGTCGTTGTGTCCTTGGGCAAGACACTTTACCCTACCGCCTACTGGTGTTGGCCAGAGGGGCCGATGGCGCGATATGGCAGCCTCGCTTCTGTCAGTCTGCCCCAGGGCAGCTGTGGCTGCAACTGTAGCTTGCCTTCACCAGTGTATGAATGCGAGAGTGAATGAATAATGGAATTGTAAAGCGCTTTGGGTGCCTTGAAAAGCGCTATATAAATCCAATCCATTATTATTATTATTATTATTATATGTCGGCCAGTTTTCACTGGAAATGCCTTTTGGTTAAACTGTCAGCAAGGAATTTGCATTTGCACTGTTAAGTTTTTATATAACTTTAATGCACATAAAAACTACTGCTTGTTTAAGTGAAAATACATTGATGTTTTTTGCACTAATAAAGTTGTAAAGTGTTTTGTCTAGTGTCAATTATATTGTCAGTTATATTGTTATTGCAAATTTTCAAATATATATCATGATAAATATTTTTGGTCATATCACCCTGCTCTACCATTTATCATAATATATTAATTAATATTAAAATTAGAAAGGGTGTCTCCCTCCTGAATTAGAATTGGGAGCTAGTTCCCTAAAATAGGGGCCTGAAAAGCTGAAGGTTTGCCTCCCACTCTACTTTTAAATATCCTAGGAACCACAAGTAAACCAGCAGTCTGAGAGTCGCATGCTGTATTGGGATCATAGAATACTATGAGGTCATTAAGATAAGACTGGGTCTGATTATTCAAGACCTTGGATATGAGGTGAAGAATTTTAAAGTTGATTCAGAATTTTTAAACAGGGAGCTAATGAAAAGACACCAGCATGGAAGAAATATGCTCTTTTTCTACTCCCTGTCAGTACTCTTCATGCAGCATTTTGTATTAAATAAAGGCTTTTCAGGGAGTTTTTAGGACATACTGATAATAATGAATTACAATAGTCCAGCCTAGAAGTAATAAATGTTTGAATTAGTTATTGAACATAACTCTGAGACTGAATGTTTCAAACTTTAGAGATATTTAGAGTACAATGGGGAAAAAGCAGTCCGATATATTTGTTTAATATGTGTATTGAAGGATATATCCTGGTCAGAAATAAGTCAGAGATTCCACACAATGTTACCAGAGGTAACCAGCTTAAGAATCTGGTAAGATACCATATTTCTAAGCTATTTAGGGCCAAATACAAGGACCTCAGTTTTATCCGATTTAGAACAAGAAATTAGAGGTCATCCAGGTCTTTGTCTTTAAGACATTTCGGTAGTCAGTGTGTGTATTATCTGGCTTCACTGATACCTATATACTTAGAGGTGGGTATCATATCCCTACCAATGAAACTGTATGCTATACCTTCGAATTATATTGTCTCAGGGGAGCATCATATCATGCACAAAATGCACACAGATGACTGCAGTACATCCTCGACCAATAAATCTGTACAAATTACAAGATGTGGCAATCCTATTAGTCCTGTAGCTTATAACAACACTTGTATCATTACATTAGTACTTTCAATTAAAATATAAGATTCGGGGGAATTTGGGTATTTTACGTTTTTTTTGCTTTTAATTTTACTCTCAGACAAGCATCTTGTGACACAGTAAGCACCTCCTATATTAGTTTTCTGAACTTGTATGACAAAAAAACAGTTTTAGATGAAAATGGTAATGTAATTATACTGATTAATTTGTTTCAATTTGTGCCCTTCAATTGTCCACTGTGAAGTGACCTGTGAGCCCTGACCTCCTGTTTACCGAAGAGTTCACTCCAGCCAGAGTCAGCGGGATGGAGCAGGAGGAGGCTCTGTGCTTTTTGAAGGCATTTTTGGAGGAGTTTCCAGCTGCTCTGGAGGAAGGCGCTTCACTTCCTGTTAGCCCTCTTAGTCGTAAATTCACAATGGAGGAGTTGCATGGAGAGAGCCTGGAGCTGGGCCTGAGGCTATTGGCAAACAGGTATGACTGGGAAGGAGACAAACTGAATAGAAGGTTGTAACGATGAACAAATTTATTTTTCTGTGGACCAATAAGAGAAAATGATTGTGGCTATCTAAGACACACACCATTTAGTTAGTAAAGGGCCTTAATTAATATTATAAATACAAAGGATTATACTGTGGATTATTTTACATATTCCATTTTTTTAAATGTAATGATTTTTAGTGTATGGTGATACACAAGCAGACATGAAGTAAAACTTATTTATTCTTGTTTTATACAAACTATAAATGTCAGTCGAATGCTGGTTATTGTTGTATACTAATAATGAATTGCATTTATATAGCGCTTTTCAACGCACCCAAAGCGCTATTCATTCACTGTCACATTCACACACTGGTGGAGGCAAGCTACAGTTGTAGCTACAGCTGCCCTTTGGCAGACTGACAGAAGCGAGGCTGCCATATCGCGCCATCGGCCCCTCTGGCCAACACCAGTAGGCGGTATGGTAAAGTGTCTTGCCCAAGGACACAATGACCAGGACAGAGAGCCCGGGGATTGAACCGGCGACCTTCCCAACCCCCTGAGCCACGGTCGTCTCTTTATATACGCATAACAAGGGAAAGAGGCAAAGTAACCATTAATCCTACAGTGTTTAGTTCAGTATTGTACTTTTAATAGAAATTTTATTTGCAGATTAGAGAGATTGCATCTAACATTTTTGTTAACATTTTGTTAGGTAAGAAGTAGGGATGGGAATCGAAACCCGGTTCCCACTGTTTCAATTCCTTGGAATTGTTTGCCATTTTTGCAAACAATTCCCTTATCGATTCCAGTCGCCTCGAATGACGTCACCACGTTGCGGAGCGTCATTTACTAAGCGGCTCAAACACTCAAAAGTTTGGTTATACTTTACGAGAACGGATGACGACAGGGCAACTTGCAATACTTGCAAGTAGATATTTCATTTAAGGGAGGAAACACTACGAATATGCAAAAGCATTTGCTCACAAAACACGCGATGACCTTAAATGAATGTCGTGTTTTTAATTCCGCTCTGGATTCATGAATCTCAACCCAGAAACAGCGGTAACGTTTGTACGTCCACTCCCGTTAATGCGGCAGGTAAATAATTAACTAACAGTGCATATGATGTTAGCGCGATCTGCCTTATTACAAAACCTGCCATTACTGTGCGCTGCATTTAGGTGACCATGATGAGAGAGACAGACAGAAGCTGTGTTCCAAAACGTCGGCTGCATCCTTCGGAGGACCTGGCCTTCGCAGTCTACGTGGGCTGGGTCCTTTGAAGACCGAGAAGGCTGGAAGTGCGAGGCTGTGAAACGGAACGGTCTAGCCTTCAGATTTGCGTCACCGCTGTCTCGGTGGAGTTTAATAAACTCGGCCGTCTGCTCCTTGCTATCTAAAATATAACAGGACACTGGCGTAAATTCTCGACCGTCTCACACTTCTGTTTAATCAGTTTTCTGTTTGACGTTTATTCAGCTGTGTGAAAATCCCGGAGGAACCCACCAGATAGATTAATAACGTTTTATTAAATCTAATAACTTTGATCTCAGCCAAACCGATTTACTCCGGATCAAATAAAACACAGAAAAAAGGCAAACAATTAAATTTTTAAGTTATCCGAGTGACTTACTGTATATATCATGTTTAACCTGAGTAGCGAAAGAGCGGGGATCTGAAAACGACGAAGCCGCAATTCCGCTGCTCTCGCCGGCTCGAGTGACCACTGAACCCCTCCGGCTTGCTATCCAGCGGGTGGCTAACAGACGTCTCCAAAAACGTCGGCGCACTTTTGCAAATATGCGATGTCTTGATAAACCAAGCAGATATTTGAAATTTAAACAGCTTCTTTCTCGCCTGAAAATATGTTAAAAGTTTATTTTGTGACCCAGAAAGAGTAATAAGACTAATTTTAAAACTTAGCAGCGGCCGCCATTGCTGGCAGCTGAAATTTGGCTGGGCCGCGCTATGAATTCTGGGATATGGTGGGCCACGAAGGACACACCCGACCCATCCTTCAAATTCGTGGAAATGAAGGACGCATTTGTCGGCCGCATTTGAAGGAGTCGACGAATTGGTTGGCTCAGATGCTGGCAGTTCTCGCTGCAGTCTACCGTTAGTGTCTTCTTTCAGGCCAGGATATACGAATGTCAACGAGTAGGGCTGGGCGATATGACCCAAAATTCATATCTCGATATTTTTTAGCTGGATGGCGATATAAGATATATCTCGATATTTTATTAACTTTTATTAACATACAGCATAGATGTACATGAAAAAAACTACTCAAAAATAAATTATGAGCATTTATTAAATAATAATGATCCATAAATAAAAGAAAACTTTGTTGTTTTTGTGCATAACAAAGAGCTCACAATTGTGCAGTCAAAATGTAAACTAACAGACGCTGAGCATAATAACAAAGACAGATTTCACAACTGCTCTGTTCCCAACTTCTACTATGTGACTGACAGCCTGGAGTTTGAAACCCTCTTTGTAACCGTGTCTCTTAACAGGTGCCATTTATGGTCCTTATACACACACAATACGGTAATATTACGTTGAAGCACAGTACGTATCACTCCGCCAGCCTCCGGACTACGGTAGCCGTAATGCTCCGACAATCCATCAAGCGGTGCAGCTCCGTAGCTTACCAAAGTCATACTAAAACATTTTTTGACAGATTGCTGAGCGCCGTGTTCCACATGAAATCGGTTTGCGGTCATCAAGCACAACCAGAATTCATACATAAGGCGCGCTGTCAACTTTTGAGAAAATGAAAGGATTTTAGGCTGTGCATGGCGTTAGTGCGGTTAGCTCGTTAGCGTGGTTAGCTCGTTAACACGTTGACGCCGTCCAGCCCCACGCACGGGGCGATGCGCAGTAACTCGTTAACGGAGATTTGCCGTGTCCATCTTGTTGCTGCCTGCAGGTGAAGCGATGGGGGTGGAGGGGGAGCTGTGTTTAGTGAAGGAGAGGCGAGGCCGAGTAACGTTGCGTAGAGACAAAAGTGGACAAAAGAGAACTTGTGGCTCCACAACTATAATTATAACGTAACATAGGCTATATCGATATAAAGGATATGGTCACATCTTATATCTCATATAAAAATATATCGATATTTTTAAAAAACTCGATATATCGCCCAGCCCTATCACCGAGCAGTGTCTAAGTTTGTGGTAAAAGGCTTGCACCCATTTGCACCCAGAAGTGTGAGACGGTCGATTTTCGGTAAGTGAATGTGTTTAATTGTAGGCAGGGACATTACTGGATATTCTTGTGTAATTGCTACAGAACAATTTATGTTATACTTTGTTATTGCTACAGAAGAATATTTTATTATTTTACATTTACAATTTTTTTTTTCCTGGTGACCCCGTGACACCCCATTGAAGAGCCATAGGCTGGATCTCTTAAGATCTCACTGTTGGGTTTGTAAGGCCATGTTACTCCTAAATTTCTGTCTTGTTCAAAGAGAAGATATAAAACAAAGTTCTAAGCTAATCAACCTTAGTGTTCTCCTTTTTAAAAAAGAAAAAGAAAAAAAGAATCGATAAGAGAATTGATAAAGAATCGAATCGTTAAACAGAATCAAAAATGGAATCGGAATCGTAAAATCGTATAAATACCCATCCCTAGTAAGAAGTCTGGGCTTCTAGAAATCAATAATCTGCAGTCAATCTTTCTGCAATGAGAAGAGGCTGGTAAAAGACTTTCAAACACTTTTAAACTTTGAGCAGGAAAAAGTAACACTTAAAAACTGTGACTGGCTTTCTGTTCTGCTCACATTTTCTACAGATGTATTCCCTGTCAGGAAGGTTTCATTTCCTGTCTGCAGAAACAAAATTGTTCATGCCACTTCCTTTTTCCTAAACACAATCTTTGCTGCCAGAGAAATGCAATTCTGTAGAGGAAAAGAAGTGCATTTACAGGTTACTGCCCAAAAATTATCTTTTCTTTTTTCTGTCCACAATTTGGACTTTGGTGCAACACTTTGTAACTGCAGTTAGAAAAATGACTCAAATTTCAAGAGATTACACAACATGTATTTATCTCTGTGTTTGTTCAGGGGTGCTTCTCCAAGACTCGGTGCCCTCCTTTGCCAGGCAGCATATTCCCAGCTGCTGCAGACTGACCTTTTACCTTACCAGTGCCCTGAGGAACCTGAAGGTGACCAAGAAGAGAAGGCAGATGACAAAGCAGTCTGTATGTTTGTGGTGCTTTGAATATATTGCATTATACTGAAAGATGCCAATTCAATTCAAGCAGACAGAATGAAATAATCTTGTGTTTGGAAGTTGTCTGTCCAGGATCATATATCTGATATACACTCTCCAAGTAACTTGATACCAACTTATCATTACCAAATATCATTAGCGGTACTAACACAGATCACATTCACACTTGTCTTCACATCTCAGGTCTTATTGGCATGTTCGCAGACTATAATTTATCTTTTACAGTGCAATTTGAGGCTGCAAAAGGGGAGATGATAATTTATCCAATACATATCACCCTGTCTGCTGCCACACAGCCAACTTGGGCACAGCCTCAGCCTCGATGATGCCACATGTGTGTGAAAGGGTCCGTTTTAACACAAACAATTATAATTTCAGTTTCTAAAGTTTTTAAACAAGTAAAAAACTAAAATTGAAACTATGAGTAGACCTCTCCTCTATAAGGAACTGGTGTACATTTGCATAGTGGTTGGAAATATTGCATTGCACTGCACTGAAAAGTAGTATTTTGACTTCCATCCATTCGCTTCCACTTATACTTTTCAGGGTCGTGGGGGGTGCTGGAGCCTATCCCAACTGTCATAGGGCGAGAGGCGGGGTACACCCTGGACAGGTTGCCAGTCTGTCACAGGGCTAACACTAACACAGGGCAATTTGGCTTAACCAATTAACCTATCCTCACAAACTGCATGTCTTTGGATGGTGGGAGGAAGAAAGATCACAGAAAGACCCCAGCCTGATGGTGAAATTGAACTCAGGAGCTTCTAGCTGTGCGGCAACAGTGCTAACCACCGTGCCACCTGGAAGTAGTTTGACTTCCATTGTACATATTAATTCAAGGAATAAAATGCCTTTGTCCATGATGTTATTGAAAAAAAAAAACCAGAAATATAACAGGTTTCTTACTTGTATTGTAATTTATTGTCAGTATTTCAATCAGAGGCAGTCCAACGCACCTTCCTGAATAAACTGATAGATGTAGCACTGGCGTGGCACAGAAACTTCCCCAAGGTGGCTCTTTGTCCCTCTCGCAACCTCCAGTGCTCCATTCATGCCATCAAAAACACCCGGAGAAAAATGGAGGACAGACATTTGGCTTTAGCCGAGTTCAACCAGCTCTTTGGAATTCAGGTATGAAAAATATCACAGACACAAAAATAAAAACTGAAATTACAATCCCAACTAATTATCAAACATACTGTCATGTAAAAAAAAAGTTTTCACAGGACCGCATAAAGTCCTGTTAAAACTAAGTGTACCCTTACTGCTTGTATAGAAATAAAGTAAGCAGCAGTGAGGTGCTGATCCTCTATAAAAGCCATATTTGAAGAAAGCCAAGCATACACAGATGCTGCACGGTGGTGGAGAGGTGATTTAGATTTGTTGTGCAGCATATCTTGCAGTCACCAACTTCACCATGAGCTCCTCTGCATACCAAAGTATTTTAGAGTCCCATCTGAGGGGTTGGCTAGATCTGGGGATTGGTAGGCTGCATCCTGGGATCACTGCTGCCTATGGGGGCATCTGTCAGCCCACACTTCAGAGGGTGTGTATTGTAGGTGGTCCTACAAGCCACTGAATCATGGGGTACACTTAGTTTTTCACAAACTGCATTCTGTGACATTTATTTATGACTGTGTCTTTCTTCCCTCCCGTATGGTCCAGGATGATGTAGATCGTGCTTACTATGCTGTGTTTGATGGCCATGGAGGGGTGGATGCAGCAACCTACGCTTCCACTCACCTCCATGTTGTTCTAAGTAAACAGGAGATGCTGCAGAGTGATGCAACCACAGCCTTTAAAACAGCCTTCAAACGCACAGATGACATGTTCAGAAACAAGGCCAAGAGAGAGGTACTGAGAAATCAGCAGTGCAGCATCTTGAGCACAATGTTTTCTGCTGACATTTACATGCTATAGTACTCAACTTGGTGTGCTGTCTTGCTCTGTCTTTTGTCTTTAAATTACACCTGTGTGTGCTGCAGCGTCTCCGGAGTGGCAGCACAGGAGTGGCAGTACTGATCCAGGATCAAGAGCTGACTGTTGCTTGGCTGGGAGACTCTCAGGCAATACTGGTCAGAGATGGGCATGTTGTTAGACTCATGGACCCACATAAACCAGAGAGAGAGGTAAGAATCCCACATACAAACACACAACCTCTGCTGCCTCAAATTTCATACTATGTTGTATTCCAAAATGGGAATGCAGATAAAATATTTGGAAAGTTTATTGCGTGATATGGATCAAACATTCCTCAGAGCTCAAAAAAACACATGCGCGTACACACAACACACACACACACACACACACACACCACACACACACACACACACACACACACACACACAGTGTGTGTGTGTGTGTGTACGCGCATGTGTTTTTTTAACTATTACTAACAAATGCAGTTACTTCATGTGAAGTTAAATTACTCATGCACTTATTTTTACATACTCACACATAATGGTGAGAAGGAACCAGAAGCTAAACTCCTTCTCTGATGTGTTAAACTGTCCAGGATGAGAAACAGAGAATTGAGGATCTTGGAGGCTGCATTACTTCATGGGTTGCTGGCGTGTTAATGGCACATATGCTGTATCGAGAGCCATAGGTAAGTCAGTCCCAACTCACAAAACCACAGAAATGTACAGTGGGGCAAAAAAGTATTTAGCCAGCCACCGATTGTGCAAGTTCCCCCACTTAAAATGATGACAGAGGTCAGTAATTTGCACCAGAGGTACACTTCAACTGTGAGAGACAGAATGTGAAAAAAAAATCCCTGAATTCACATGGTAGGATTGTAAAGAATTTATTCATAAATTAGGTGGAAAATAAGTATTTGGTCACCTCAAACAAGGAAAATCTCTGGCTCTCACAGACCTGTAACGTCTTCTGTAAGAAGCTTTTCTGTCCCCCACTCGTTACCTGTATGAATGGCACCGTTTGAACTCATCATCTGTATAAAGACACCTGTCCACAGCCTCAAACAGTCAGACTCCAAACTCCGCCATGGCCAAGACCAAAGAGCTTTCGAAGGACACCAGGAAAAGTATTGTAGACCTGCACCAGACCTGCACCAAGCAAGCAGCTTGGTGTGAAAAAATCAACTGTGGGAGCAATCATCAGAAAATGGAAGACATACAGACCACTGATAATCTCCCTCAATCTGGGGCTCCACGCAAGATCTCTTCCCGTGGGGTCAAAATGATCATGAGAACGGTGAGCAAAGATCCCAGAACCCCACGGGGGGACCTGGTGAATGACCTGCAGAGAGCTGGGACCAAAGTAACAAAGGTCACCATCAGTAAACACACACGGCAGGGATCAAATCCCGCAGTGCCAGACGTGTTCCGCTGCTGAAGCCAGTGCATGTCCAGGTCCGTCTGAAGTTTGCCAGAGAGCACATGGATGATACAGCAAGGATTGGGAGAATGTCATGTGGTCAGATGAAACCAAAGTAGAACTTTTTGGTATAAACTCAATCGTCGTGTTTGGAGGAAGAAGAATACTGAGTTGCATCCCAAGAACACCATACCTACTGTGAAGCATGGGGGTGGAAACATCATGCTATGGGGCTGTTTTTCTGCCAAGGGGACAGGACGACTGATCCGTGTTAAGGACAGAATGAATGGGGCCATGTATCATGAGATTTTGAGCCAAAACCTCCTTCCATCAGTGAGAACTTTGAAGATGAAACGAGGCTGGGTCTTCCAACATCACAATGATCCAAAACACACCGCCCGGGCAACAAAGGAGTGGCTCCGTAAGAAGCATTTGAAAGTCCTGGAGTGGCCTAGCCAGTCTCCAGACCTCAACCCCATAGAAAATCTGTGGCGTGAGTTGAAAGTCCGTGTTGCTCGGCGACAGCCCCAAAACATCACTGCTCTCAAGAAGATCTGCATGGAGGAATGGGCCAAAATACCAGCTACTGTGTGTGCAAACCTGGTAAAGACCTATAGTAAACGTTTGACGTCTGTTATTGCCAACAAAAGTTATGTTACAAAGTATTGAGTTGTATTTTTGTTATTGACCAAATACTTATTTTCCACCTGATTTATGAATAAATTCTTTACAAATCCTACCATGTGAATTCATGGATTTTTTTTTTCACATTCTGTCTCTCACAGTTGAAGTGTAGCTCTGGTGCAAATTACTGACCTCTGTCATCATTTTAAGTGGGGGAACTTGCACAATCGGTGGCTGACTAAATACTTTTTTGCCCCACTGTAGATGTGATTTGACTGGCTGTATCATATAGTAGTTCTCAAAGTGTGACCTTAATTGACCTCCACTGCTACATAAACTGAGGTTGCTCATGTTAACTGAAAGTAAACGACAAACTTGGTTCCAAAAAAAGTTGAG